AACATTCATAAATGTCACGAGACTTCTCAATAATCACAAAATTGTCACCCTGCAACTTTAGACCATTAGATCATTAGCTTATAAAGTTGATCAATGATCATAAATTGGTCTTACGGGTCTCACGAAAAATCCTTGGTCTCACGTGAACCCAACTATATATATATATATATATTGTACGTAATTATATGTGATTTTACAGGTTTAGGGTGAAGTTAAATGTGATTTATATGTTCTCGTATTTATCTTATTTGATCATTTTTCTCGTTTGAATTTAACTACGTATCTATGTATGTGTGTGGGGGTGTTAAATCAAGGGAAAACCTAAAAAAACGAATGAAAAGATATATCAATAGATATCATATTTAAGATAATAAAATTGATCGTTTTTTGTGTAACTTGTTTCCTTCCAATTTTTATTATATCTTGCTTATTTTCAATTATGCAAAATATGTAGGGATATTTTTACTAAAAGGTTATAACCACTTTTTTAACTACATCTGTTTGATCACCCAATTGTACGGTTTGAATACATTTTTTGTTTCTTTCTTTTCTAAGGGTTCTCTCCAGTAATAACTCTCGCTTCTTGTGAAAATTGTATGAACTATATGCAACTGTTGATCGTTTTTGATCCAAAGATGACGATGAGACATGTTCCTTTTTATAGGAGGGGCACCTTGTTATTTGGGTTTTTACATATGGGCACGTTAGCATCGATTTCAGGAGTATATATGTTAAGGTACGTTAACACGTGTGTGTGTGTGAGAGAGAGAGAGAGAGAGAGAGAGAGAGAGAGGTATGTTAACTTATGTGAACATTCGATCTCTCTAAAAGTCATGGCACTAATGTTCTATTTTATTATAAAACTGTCACCACGTCATTTTTAACTTTCTGATAAAAAATAAGTCATTTAAGGAAAAACAAGGTAGTTATCACGTTAAAAAGGAATAACAATATGAATGTCAAATTAAATATGTATAAAATGTTGTTTTTTTTTTTTGTATATTTGTATGGCTTCAATTATGATTATATATAATTCGCTTATTTTCAGTTAAAAATAATGGAAATGTTTTAACCATTTAATCACATGCGTTAGATCAAATCCATCTTACAGTTAAAATCTGTTTCCATATTTCAAAAGAATTTATTGTTTTTATTAGAATCCCCTATGTAAATATGCATTTCATTTTGAAGTCTATAAAACATTATTATCATAATTAACCTCAAATTGACAATTTCAAAACACAAATCTCAAGAAATTTTCAAGTGTGAAGTCAAAAATCTTGACAGCATTTAATGGCCGTTTACCAAATGCTTACCAAGTCATATTACTTTAGCGGATGAATATGACAATGACCAAGAATCTTATCCAATAAGAGCGAGACAAGGACCAAGAGTTTTACCCGGTAAATGAGGGCCACGACTTTTAGCTCACCTCAAGATAAAAAGTGGAATATTAAGTCCGATGCCTACTTACAATTTTTTTTAAAATGGTTGTACCACGTGCAATGCATGATTGTACCCTTTTTGTATGCCGAGGTGGATCCAATATTTTTTTGGAGTGGTATCACAAAATGAATACTATATTTTTATTTAAAAAAATTCATATAAACCAGTAAAGTTTTAAGGTTTATGTTTTCACTCAGAAAAACTTACGATTGCAGATTTAAGGATCTAGAAAGATACACCTATCCCCATCTTTTGTGGTTTCAGAGGCAACGTTATCTTTAAGGGTAGGACAACCCCTATTTTGTAGGTATAATACATCCAAAAGGGAACTAGAAATAAACTAGTCGTCATTGTTTCATTATAACCAGAAATAAAAGAGTTACAAGTTAAATTAAACATGAAATTATATACAACGTACTCGGAAAAAATAATGTTACCTACTTAATTAAATTAGTATATATATAGCGGAATAGAATTGAACTGAAAAAAAAATACAGAAAAAAGTAAAGAAATAACTTTTTTTTTAATGATTTAGGCATGTACAGGTATTGAATTAGAGTTCATTGCCACACAACATTTCAAACGATCAAGTATCAAGTTTTTGCTTATAAGTCCTGAGTGAAGAGTGAGCGGGAGGCCTTCCCTTACACATTCGTCGTATTTCTCCAAAGCCGCGACAATCTCCGTGAAATCAGGTCGCTTTGAAGGTTCTGCTGTCCAACATCGCTTGATCAAGTGCGCAAGGGCCGGTTGGCAACTTGCAGGGAGCGGTGGTCGTTCGTTCTGTCAATTATTGCCAAAATAATTAAGAGACAGATAAAGTGAATTCAGCTTTTCTTTTTCCAAAAAACACTATGGGATGTCATAAAGGCAATACAACAACGTTAAGTTTATAGTATGTCTAAAGTTTCTAAAATATTTTATAGGACTTACATTTACAAGATTAAACCAAAAAATGTCATATCTAAAAATGTTACAATAGGTTTATAAGATGTTTTTGGGTGTTTTAACAAGTTTTTTTTAAAATATTTTTAAAGTAAAATGTCATATTAATTATTTTATATGACATTATTTGAAAAAAAATATTGAATAAAGTGTCCTATAAAAAGATGGACTTATAGGAACATTTCTCAAAATTGTTTTATAAAATAGATTATACAACACTTTATTTTAAAAATGTCTTGTAAACTTGTTAAAAATTCAAAAACGTCTTATAAACCTATTGTAACAATTTAAGATATGATGTTTTATAACTTTATTTTACAAACCTAAGTCCTAAAATATTCTACTAGGCCGCTTGACACGTCCTATAAAGTCATTTTTGTTGTAGTGAGAATAAGTATCTTAATTGGAAGATCAAATAAGATAAAAGATATTTGTAGTTTCTTTTCTGTAAATTATGGAATATGTTTGAACCTATAAGTATATAGATTTAAATGATCTGTGTCTAGCTGATGTGGGGTTCTAACAGAGACATATACGATATGCAAGAAGTAGCACGATAAAGAGAGGGATATATATGCGGCTAACCTTTTCCGCTACGGCAAATGCGGCTTGTACTGGAGTCATCCCTTGAAAAGGGAGCAACGCTGTCGTAAGCTCCCATAACACGATCCCAAAACTGTACACATCCACTTTCCGAGTATAAGGTTTCTCCTTCACCATCTCAGGAGCCATCCAACGATAAGTCCCCATATTTCCTTTTGATTCTTGCGTTTGCGTTTCAAGACAAGAGGTCCCAAAATCGGCCACCTTAACCCTCATTTCGTCGTTGAGGAGCAAGTTATTGGATTTTAGGTCTCTATGAACCACCCCTTGAGAATGAAGGTATTCCATTCCCCGCGATATGTCTAGGGCAAGCCTCAAAACCGTCTCGGTTGAGAGCGAGTATGGTTCTTTCTTGTTTAAGTACATCCTCAGGGTTCCTTGCGACATGTACTCCGTTATGATACAATATACGGGAGGCTTTTTACAAGCCGCAATGAACTGTAGAGAAAGAACGGGCAATCGTTACAAGCTGCACACGAAACTTTTGGAGATCACAAACTTAACAACATACATAACTAGCGTCGCAACCAAACATATAACTATATAAGTAGTATGATGGGAAAACATCAAGTATATACAAATAGGAGAACGTTCATTTGAGAACGATAAATATTTTGAGAACTGTGAGAACCAACTATTTATGAATTATTTATTATAAATATAACTAAATATTAAATATCACGGACAACATGCATTTTCATCATGATATTTATCATGTATATCTATCACGATATATATATATATATATATATATATATATATATTTATCATGATAGTCATAAATGAATATATATTAATAGTCTGTTTTCACGATTCTCAAAATATTTGTAGTTCTCAAGAGAACCTGTCCAATATAAAGTCCATTTACGTCTCTATATATACACAACCAAGAACCGAGGCTAGCTATTTACGTCCTTGTACACAACCAAAAACACTCGGTTCGCCTTCTTGAATACTTTATCGTTCGATCAACAAGCTAGTTTCTTCATTTAATAAACATTTGCAAACATTCAAACCAGAATTGAACTTAAATTTTCAAAACTTGGTAAGATATATATATATATATATATATATATATACACACATGCATTCAACTATAACATATATAGCATAAGATTTCAAAATTGTAAGAGAAACATACTTGTACAGATTGTAAACAACTGATCATCAAGTATGGTATATATATGTATAAAAGATTGAGAAAACCCTAATTATATATAATTACCTGAACTATGTTGGGATGATAGAGTCTTGAAAGCAAAGCAACTTCTGATTTGAACTGTTGTTCAAGCATGACTCTTGTCTCTTCTTTATGAGTTGGGATCCTCACCATTTTCACAGCCACAGCCCTTTGCTTGTAAATCCCTCTATAAATCCTGCTATGTGCACCAGATGCAAATTTATTCCCAATGAAAAGCTGTGAAAGATCAGCCGTCCATTCTTCTTGATCTTCCTTAGCCACTTCCCATGTCTCCACATTTTCTGAGTCCAAAATCATTGACCATGATTCAAGACTGTCAAATCTTTTTCTCTCCATGTTCTCCATCTCAGTTTTCCATGGGGATTTTGATGAAGAAGATGGGTATGGAATGGGTTTCTCCTTTTTCTTGAATCTAAAAGGGTTGAAACAAGAAATACCCATTGCGAAAAACGACAAGTTTTTTCCGTCCCAAACTAGTTGGAGTAGGCTAAAGACGAACCCGATTCGTGACTGTAGCGCAGTTTCTCATGAAAAAACAAAATCAAGAAAAGTAAAGGAAGGGTCTTTTTGGTGATCAAGAAGGGGTGTGGATTGAATTCTGAGGGAGGGCATGATCAAATTCAAAAACAAAAACATGGGTATTGGAGAAAAATGTGGAAATGAGATGGGTTTTCATGGATGAACAAAAACAATGAAATCTAGAGAAAGAATCCATCATCAAAACTTGAATAATAGAGAAAAAAAGGTATAAGATGACAAATTCTTCTTTCCATCCAACAAAAGGAACATTGCTTTCACAAAAGTACTTGCAATAAAAGAAAAGAAGAAGAACTCATGAAACCCTAATAAATATAGGTAAATGGAAAAGGAAATATTCACAAGGGTTTTGTAGGATTAATTTAGTCTAGAAAGAGAAACATCACATACAACCTAAACCGGACGTTATAAGCTCATCCTTAGTTGTAACGTTTTGTGATGTCGCTCGTTTCTTTCTTTATCTGCTTTCATTTTCTCAAACGTACAGAAATTGCAAACTAAAAAAAGACATTTCCGAAATAACCCATATATCTTAACTTCTAACATAACAATGATCATATATCATGTAACGAGTCATCAAGGATGCCGTCAACAAGAAAAATCAAGAAAATTTGCAAGAATTGATTAATATTTATAATTAATTGAATAAAAAAATGGCCTTTTTTTTTTTGAATTTTGATGGGATGCCCATGTAACTTTATGGGTAGATTATGTATCATGATGATAGAAGAAAAAAGCATGAATTTTTTCAAGAGGATGGAGTGAGAGTCTCGTGATTTCTTGGTTCATAGAAAAAGGTGATTTAAAAAGAGTAACCAAGAAAGACTCCACAACTCTCTTTTTTCCACTTGTTTGTTATCATTCAATGCTTTTGCCCTTAGCTTTGGCTTTTGAGTGTGTCAAGTCACACTCCTAAATGAGAACCCAATTGCCCCCCTTTTCATTTTCACTTCATAATATGTATATCGTACCTTTTAAATTTACAGTAACCGTTTACCAAATGTTTATCAGGTAAGCGTATTATTATGTTATTAACAGATAAAATTTTTGGTCATCAAAATTGGTTGTTGGTGAACATTTTTACATGGTATAAGTGTTTGTCGGGTAAGGATCTTCTCCTTCACTTGACGGGTAAGATTATTGGTCTTTGTTATGTCTCTTAAATGGTAAGATTATAAGTCCTTATCATACTCACTCGTAAGGTAAGTGACCTAACCATAAGAGTGGTGCCTGATTGGTTTGAGTTTAGCTCTAAAGGTCAAAAGTACCATGAGGTCACATGTTCAAATCCAGGGAGGAATAAAAATCCCCTTGTAGCCACGGAGGTTCAAATGCGGTGACTCCGGACTATTTGCAAAGCAGGTGGTCGTCCTAGGTTTAGTCGGCTCACATAGTGGGTTGGATATCCAGGTTAATAAAAAAAAGGTAAGTGACCTGATAAGTGTTTGGTAAACGACCATGAAGTTAAACTCTAAATATTTAATCGTAACGATCATACAAGGTAGATAATATTATCGAAAAGAAAAGTATTTTACAAGTCTTAAAATAAATATAATTAACGTTTAAGGCAGTGATTATGTTGGATTTAGACTTCACATATAAAAAATTAAAATGTTGTATTTCATTTAAAACGATTTGAATTTTTTAATGTTTTAACGTATATTATAATATTTAAAGATAGTCAACCACAAGGGTGATGCTTGATTGGTTTGAATTTGGCTTCAAAGGTCAAAAATACCAGGAGGTCCCTGTTCAAATCCAAGGAGGAATAAAAATTCCATTGTGGCCACGGAGGTTCAAATGCGGTGACTTCAGTCTATTTGCAAAACATGTGGTCGGCTCTGGGTTGGATATCCAGGTTAATAAAAAAAGATAGTCGATGAAAAATATTTCGTAGAATGAAACTCATATGTTAATTTGATATGTCTCCACAATTTCAGACTTCGATTTGGTTTTCCATAATAATTATTTGAATCCCAAATGAAATACTTGTATTAGATATCAAAATGTGTGATATTTTTCAAGATTAAGTATATGTCAACCAGAGAACGACAATTTTATACTATTCCAGACCGAACATATCAGAACAAATGAAAACCGAACCATGATCGGTTATTAGTCAGAACTAGGCCAGACGACTGGTCCCCTTTTGGACCAGATCTTTTATCAAAAACCATGTTGTTTTTCCATCAAATATAGTCTGAACCAAGAAAACCTCGTCTAGAATTCTAACTTTTTTCCTTTATTTAAAAATATTAATCTTTTTTATTTTATTAAACAATCAAAAGGCTAGACCAAACGCACTAGACCAAATAAACTCACACATCTTCTTTACCATTGGTGAGGTTTGAACCCCTGATCTCCTAGGAGGCAAGAGGCTCAGATACTGCTAGACAAAAAACCCTATGATAAAAAATGATATTTTTGACTGAGAAACTTTAGCATATCAAATTAGAATAAGAATTCAATTTTTCCATGGAATAAAGTGAAAGAGCTTTAATTAATTAAGAGAACTTGTCATGTAGCTTGGGTCTGCCACTTTGAATCAAACACCAAAGCAAAAGTGTTGATTTAATTTTTTGTTATAAACTCTATGACTCAATCTCAATTATCTGTGTAGACGATCAACGATGTAAATTAAAGTCCTGTGACCCATTTAAATCTGTACAAAAGGAACTCTGATTGTCCCTCGGTGTATAAGAGTATGAAGATAACGTCAATAAATTAAGTTTGAAGGTGTAAATAAATTTCAAGATGTTCGAGATTTTACCAAATTTAAATGAATCACTTAGAAATTTGAATTATTCTAGGGGCATTTGGTTTGATGAAATGATTTTGAGGGATTTGCATTTCGTTGAAAGATTTGGAATCGAAGAGATTTGGATTTGAAAGAGTGTGGAATCCTTGCTGTGTTGGTTTGTAGGATTAATTTGGGTTGGAATTGAATTTCATTCATTAAAAATAATTTATAAAACAAATTATAAATAATTATAAAAATAATTAAATTACCTTTATTATTAGTTGATTATTACAAAACAAATGTTTTCAATATGTTTTAAAACATTATTACATACAAATCCTACGAAATCCCGTGAAATACCAACCACCCTATTAGGATTCAAAATCCTATATTTGTGGGAATTCAATGAAATTCTGGGATTCTGAATCCAAGGAATCCTTCAAACCAAATATGGGATTGGAATGGAATTCAATTCCAAATCCCTAAAATTCCAATTCAATCCTCCAAACCACACGGGACCTTAGGATTTTTGTTCAAGATGGTCCATATTCGAATAACACCCTCTTTTAAGTTTTTAACTATAGTTAAGGTTGAACCTTGTCTAGGCTTCATGGCACTCATGTCTTGTTCAAAGTGTTGCACGATGCTTGAGTTTCATAGCTTTGTTCGAACCACGTGTAATATTGTTTGATAACCACAAAACCTTTCGGCTTTGCGCCTAGTTCACCCTAACCTCCTATACAATTTAAAACCTCTTTTTGGAGTCCATGGATCCGTTAGGATTCGGAAAACCTCATTCGAAAGTGAGCAATTCAATGAGGTAAGATCTTTCGCGAACCATTGTTTTCGTGGGGACCTAGGTTGGTGACTTGAAGTTGCGCGGTGCAAGTCACCAGGTAATCTGGGGAAGTTACGGTACAAAAGTTGCAAGATTCATTCTATTGGCGACCCAAGTCACATGCTGCACTTCCGAAACCAGACGACCAATGCCTAGTTTGACCTAAAGTCGCCAGACCAAGTTACATGCGGGCACCAATGGATTTAAATTTAAGGAATTAGGGCTCATTTGATAAAACTTGCATAATCTGGTTCTTCTTTTTAAGAATTTGTGCAAATTGTGGTAATCCACCTGTGTTGTTTGGATTTGTATCATTTAAGGTTAGATTCCTATTGTATTCCTCGTTGTTTGTCAATACATAAGCTCTCGTATTTCTTATATGGTTTTACCATCAAACTGATAGTCGAAACATGTTAAATCATTGAGTTCAATTATTGTTTTGCATTGCATTTATGTTGATTGGTTGTGCGTTTTTGCTTTCAAATTCCTTGATTAAATGAAACACCGCAATTTGGTTGTTGGGTTTATATGCACTTGCGTGTATGAGTCGTGGACAAACTGTATCATACGGTCATTCACGTTTTTAGACCCAACTTCTTAAAACAAATCAGACTGTATTAATACAATAAAACAAAAGGTAGCTAACCATCTTGGGAGTTGAAAGAGAAGTCTATTATACACAGCTTTCTCTTGTATTTATACATAGACATTGATTGATTTAAAACCACAATTATCTTTCGGCCATTGAATGTCTATTGTAATTAGGTTTCAAGCACATATAGTTCAACTAATTTATTGCAGGATTCGAATTACCTGTTATTCTCAAGAAACAGTTGTTTTATTGTACATGATCTGATCCAAATAAGTAGCTGAATAAACCCATAACTTGAATCGTTGTAAAAAGTAAACTAACAAAAAAAGTACCTAAAAGAATATGGTGTCCGATTGATATAACTTTCATTGTGTTTCATGTACTTGTAAGCTGGTCTAGGTGCTATGCGTCTCGGATCATCACGAGTAAATTCCAAAAATATAGTTTTGTAATTTGTTTTGAACTTAAATGCTAGAACCAAGAACGCATGTAATTTACGCAAATGTGAGAATACTTGTAAAGCCCATAATTTTGTTTTAAGTCACATCTTTAGAACGCTTGAAGAAGCATTAAAAATTGAATAAATATGTATTTCCTTTTTTGGAAATGTCGAAGACATGCAAGGGTAAAAAGGGAAAAAGCTGCAAATCACAATATCAACAGACAGAGTCAATAATTGGGGAACCTGATTATCACTAGTTTTCAATTTATCACAACATTATCACAGGAAAATCACTTCTTTATCACAATATTTAATTACAAAGGTGGTACCCGATTGGTTTGAGATTGACTCCAAAGATCAAAAAGTACCAGGAGGTCCCAAGTTCAAATCCAATGAGGAACAAAAATCCCCTTGTGACCACGAAGTCTTTAATTTGTCAAAACATAATCATAAAGCAGATGGTCGCCCTGAGATTAGTCAACTCGCATAGCGGGTTGGATATC